CTTCCTTCTAAGATGGTTTATTTTATACCCATGTTAGCGTTTCAAGTTTTTACAGTTATAATTGTGGCACTGTGGGTTAATGTGCTGTACTGCAAAGTCAATTTTAACTGCAAGGTTGGCAGTTCAAGCTCACCAGCTGCTCCTCAGAAACCCTATACAGGGTCGCTGTGGGTTGGAATGACTCGATGACACTTAACAACATCCACTGCTGAATCATGCCACCCTATCAGTATTTTTTCTCACCTTCTCTTACCCAGACCCATCAAGTAAAATGTTGCTTGGTTGAAGTTACAAAGACATAACCTGCAGTCCTTTATCTTCATGTGTATTTCAAGTCCTCTTCCCGTCACAAGCAAAGTTGCATCATCTGTTCTTAATGAGTCTTTCTCAAATCCTAATGTCAGGTTTTCCCTCATAAAATCCACTTTCTTGTATATTTTGCTCACTATCCTGGTGTGGCACTGTGGGTTAATGAGCCAGACTGCAAAGCCAATTGAACTACAAGGTCGGCGTTCAAGCTCATCAGCTGCTCCTTTGAAACCCTATACAGGGTCACTATGAGTAGGAATCGACTTGACGGCACTTAACAACAACAACAATACAGACTGAATAAGTACGGTGAAAGTATACAAACCTGGCACACACCTTTTCTGATTTTAAACCATTCAGTGTCACTTTGTTCTGTTTATAATAAATACCTCTTGGTCTATGTATAGTTTATTCACTTGCACAATTAAGTCTTCTGGAATACTCATTCTTCACAATGTTATCCCAAATCTGTTATACACAGTCGAATGCCTTTGCATAGTCAATAAAGCACAAGTAAATTTCATCCGACTTCAGCAAGGATGTCCTTTATTTCACATCTTCTCCTGAACCCAGATTGAGTTTCTGGCAGCTCCCTTTCCATGTACTTCTGTAACTGTTTTTAAGTGATCTTGAGCAAAATTTTACTTCCATGTTATATTAAAGATATTGTTCCATGTTTTCCTCATTCCATTGGGTCACCTTTCTTTGGAATGGCCACAAATATGACACTTTTCAATCAGTTGGCCAGGTAGTTGTCCTCCAAATTTCTTGGCATAGACAGGTGAATACCTCCAGTGCTGCAGAATTTGTTGAAAGACTTCAATTTGTCTTCCATCAATTCCTGGAGCCTTGGTTTTCAACAATGCTTCCAGTGAATCTTGGATGTCTTCCTTCAATACCATCTATTTTTAATTGTATGCTACCTCTTGAAATGATTGAACATTAACCAATTCTTTTTAGTGCAGTGACTCTGTGAATTCCTTTCATCTTTTTTTTTTTTTTTTTGATGCTTCCTGCATCACTCAATATTTTCTTCATAGAATCCATCAATAATGCAAGTTGAGGTTTAGGTCTGATTTTTTTCTTCAGTTTTTTTAGCATAAGAAATACTAAGCATGTTCTTCGCTTTTGGTTTTCTAACTCCAGGTCTTTGCACATTTCTTTAACTTTATGTACTTTGTCTTCTTGAGATGCTCTTTGAAATTTTGCTCTGCTCTTTTACTTCTTCATTTCTTCCCTGTACTTTAGCATCTCTATACTGGAGAGCAAGTTTCAGAGTTTCTTGTGACATCCATTTTGGTCTTCTCTCTTTTTTCCTTGACATTTTAAATGGCATTTTGGTTTCTTCCTGTATGATGTCCTTGATGTCATCCCACAACTCTCCTGGTCTTCAATCATTAGTGTCTAATGCATCAAATCTATTCTTGAGATGGTCTCTAAATCCAGATGGGATATACTCAAGGTCATATGTTGGCTCTCATGGACTTGTTTTAATTTTCTTCAGCATCACCCTGAACTTGCATCTGAGAGACACTGATGGTCTGTTCCACAATCTACCCCGGCCTCACTTTTGCTAATATTGAGCTTCTCCTCCATTGTCTCTTCTCAAAGATGCTGTCAATTTGACTATTGTGTATTCCAACTGGTAAGGTTCATGTGTATAGCTGCCTTTTATGTTTGTGAAAAGGGTATTTGCACTGAAGTCATTGGTCTTGCAAAATTCTATCATGTGATCTCCAGCATCATTTCTAACACAAAGGCCAAAATTTCCAATTACTGATCCTTCCTCTTCGTTTCCAACTTTTGCATTTCAATCACCAGTAATTATCAATGCATTTTGATTGTATGTTTCATCAATTTCAGACCGACAAAGTTGGTAGAATTCTTCAGTTCATTTATCACTGGCTTTAGTGGTTAGTGTGTAAATTTGAAAAATAGTGGCATTAACTGGTTTTCCTTTTGTTGTTGTTGCTAAGTGTCGTTGAGTGGGTTCTGACTCATAGTGACCCTGTATAGGATTTCCAAAGAGTGGCTGGAGAGCTTGAACCACCGACCTAGAAGTACAATGCAACACAGAGCCTTTTAGGCATATGATTATCCTATCAAAGCCAGCACTGACTTATAGATCTTGAAATGCTCTTTTCTAACAATGAACACAATTATTGCTCTTGAATTTGTAATTCCCACCACAGAAAACCATGATTTCCCAGTTCAAAATGGTCAGTACTAGTCTATTTCAGATCACAAATGGTTAAAACATCAATCTTTATGCATTCTATTACATTTCTAGATGCTAGGCTGCTAAGTGCCACCGAGCTGGTTCTGACTCATAGCAAGCCTGTATAGGGTTTCCAGGAAGCAGTTGGTTGGTCTGTAATTAGTAGTTCAGTGCACACCATACAGTGCCACACTAAGATACTATGCCACTCCATCCTCAGCCATCACATGTCACTACAACATCTCAAATGCATACACTCGCATACTGTGACAAAAATGGCTCACACAGTTGAAGAGTCTGGAGATTCCTAAGTCCTTAGTTTAGCTCTCATTCTCGAGGAATTTTACTCATCCATATGATTTCAGGGACTGAGGAACCCAAATGGGCAGGTCGGAGGACAGGCTGTTGATTCACAAAGCTGTGGAAAATCATGAATCAAGTCAGGCAATAGGCTGCAAGTCCCAAGAAATGGAGAGCAGATGGAGATGAGCTGGATGCACAGCAAGAGAGTGAAGTTTTCTAAAGCATTCCTGTCTTAGCTGATATAACAGAAATACTACAAGTAGATGACTTCAACAAGAAGCCATTTATTCTTTCAGTTGAGGCTAGAAGGTTGAATTCAGAATGTTATCTCTCAAGAAAGACCTTTGTTTTCTGTCAGCATCTGTACGCCCAGCATTCCTTGGAGAGCTCCTTGAGTCTTAGCATCCATCTTTCCCTGGATCTGAGTTTCACAGCAGACCCCAGGTCCAAAGGATGTACTACAAGCCCACCTTTCTTGGTAGTAGTAGGCACTCTAAAGCTGTGCTATCTTGTTTAATCTTTTATATCTCAAAAGATTGACTCATGATACAATCTAATCCTGAAGATTGCATCTGGCCTTATTAATATTATTGTTGTTGTTAAATTAATATTATTATTGTTGTTGAAACTGTTGAGTCAGTTCCAACTCAATGACCCTGTATAGGGTTTTCAAGGCTGCAAATCTTTACTGGAGCAGAAAGCTCCATCTTTCTCCTGTGTAACAGCTGGTGGGGTTGAACTGCCAACCTTGTAGTTAGCAATCCAGTGTCTATCCTACAGAGCCACAAAGCGCCTTCATTAACATTACAGAAATGATGATTTGTAACAAATAGGATGATTACATCAGTTCAGGGCTGATCATATCAGATTGTTGCTGTCAAGTGCTGTTGAGTCAGTTTAGACTCGTAGCAACCTTGTATAGGGTTTCTGAGGCTATAAATCTTTGCAGGAGCAGAAAGCCTCTTGCTTCTCCAAAAGAGCATCTGGTGGGCTCTAACCCCAACCTTGTTTGCAGTCCAGTGCTTATGCTGCAAGGCTACTGCACTCCCTTCTGTGTAGTAATGATTCCTTCTTGTATGTCTTTGACAACAGAAATCTTGAAATTTCTGACCCTAAAATAATCAGATCGTGAGGGATGTGATTACAATATATCATTTCATCATGGGGGATTAATGCATCCTAACTCCCAAACCACTGAGAATCCAGGGCCAGCCGGGTTGACACAAAACCTTAACTACCACAGTTCCTAAGTGATGGACAGAGACCATACTTGCAAGGAAACTAAGGTTAGTGACTTAAGTCATACCCTCTAGTGAGGTTACGACTCAAGATGCATCTCACTTTAACGGTGCCTCATTAACATAACAGACAAGTCACTTCAAAACAGAATTATAACCACAGGTGTAGATGCTAAGATTTACAGTACAGCACAAAATGAAGGAGTACTCCAAGAAGGGCCATATAAGTATGCTACAGCTACAGCACCACCAGTGCTAAGGAACATCACAGTGATGAGGGTTTACAACACACAGGATAATTGGTTACATCAGGCTGGTCACTAAAGCACTGCATTGACCCTCCTTTAGAGGCTAGAGATCTCAAAGTTACAAATAAGTAAAATATTACCATGACAGTTTAATTAAATAATCTCTGATATTAAGGGTATCTTGAAAGGATATTATACATTTAGTTTTCCTGTTTCAAAGAAATAATAATTTATTTTTTAAAAAGAGACATTTAAAAATCATAATTTTATTTTTTAATAAACCTCCATATGACTCAAAAGTGTTATAATGAACAAACAGTATGCAAAGCTATTTAAAAAATATATATGTTTAAAAGATGGATTTCTCTACACACAGAGTGAAATTATGTATTGTTTCATCAAGTTGATTCTAGGCTATGGTGCTCTCATGTGTGAAGAACAGAACTTCACAGGGTTTACAGGGCTGTAACCATTCTAGGCAGGTCACCAGACATGTCTTCCAAGGTGCCTCTGGCTGTGTTCAAACTCCCAAACTTTTGGCTCGTATTGTAGGGCTTAACAATTTGTGTCACCCAAGTATTCTTATGAATGACTGATAAAGTCAGTAAACTAAAATACTCTTACAAAGAGCAACTTCATAATATCTATTAAAAACATTATCCAAAGATACTTCAGAAGCAAATCTTAATATTCTTCAGGGAAAATATTAATATTGAATCCTGGATCATCGTCATATTCCGGTTCTTCATCATTTTGTTCAGTTATATGTTTGCCATGTGCTTTCTCTGGGTTTCTTTTTTTCTTATGAAGATATACTGGATTCTTTTTCTGTTTGATCTTGGGATGTGAGCTGGTATCAGTTTCACTTTCCAAAGCACGTTGTAGACAGTTGTAAAATCTGTAAAGATATAAGTACTATTACATCTGTGTGTTTTGAAACTGAATAACTGAAGTACACCTGTTGTTGTTATTAAGTGCCATTGAGTCTATTCTGACCCATAGGGACTCTGTATAGGGTTTCCCTGCGGTTCAAACTTACCTTGCAGTCCAGTGCATTAACCCACAGCGCCACACCAGGACTAACCCACAGCTCCACACTTAGCACTAATAAAATATGTAAAAAATTATAAAAAATGTTTAAATATATAATAAATCAAACAAATACTATGTTTCTTGCTATTACGAGATATTTTAAACAGAAGGAAAAAAATGTTTCCAGTTCTTTAAACAGTTCTGAAAATTGGGATGGAACTGCTTTGTGACAACCTTTACTAAGTACCTGTGATGTACCTTTATTGTTCAACATGTCTGGGATACAGCAGAACACAAGATACACAGGGTCCTAGTCCAACTTCCAGCCCAGATGTAGGGGCCAAAGAAGGAAGGGAAAAAAGAATAAAATTATTATTTATTTTTAAAAGATCATAAATGTAATAGAAGCTCATTTTCGAGAATCTGAAAAACAAATTTTGTTACAAATATGGAGCACCTATGCATAACTACTTAGAAAAAAAGCACTCCTGATATTTTTCTTTCCGGTCTTTGAGTCATTCTGAATTGGACCAGCACATGCATATGCCTATTATTATTTATATATTGGACTATGACATATACAAGTTGCTAGCAATCGGAACTGCCTTCACAGCAGTTCTGGCCCACTGCGACCCCGTTTCTGAGGAGCGCCTGGTAGAGCTGAACTGCTGACCTTGCAGAACAGCTCATTATCCTGCAGTGCAACACAGGGAACATTTTCAATATCATCAAATAAACTGCAAAACAACATTTTGTATAATCATATCATAAATATCATATAAACTGACAATTCAGTTGTGTAGCACATTATTTTCAAATGTTCCCTAATACACACAATACTGTAGCAAACATTTTTGAAAATAGCGTACGCCGAGTTTCTTTCTAGGCTAAACACATAGAAATATAATCAGGAGGTTAAAGGGAATACACATTTAAAGTTCTTAATAAAGATTGCCTGTGTTTAAGAAAGGACGTTTAAAATAATGGCTCTGTAGAATAAGCACTGGACTGTGAAACACAAGGTCGGCAGTTTGAACCCAACAACTGCTCCTTGGGAGAAAGATGAGGCTTTCTGCTCCTGTTAAGATTTACAGCCTCAGAAACCTGATACAGGGATGCTATGAGTTGGAACCAACTCAACAGCACTTAACAACAACAAAAAACAATAATATCAGCACATGATAGAGCTCACATCATTGAATAAAAATATACTTTGTTATATAGTATCAAAAATATACTTTGAAAAGTAAAAATTGGATCTCATTTTAATTTTCTTTTTTTATTGTGAATTGAGTGAAAGTTTACAGGTTAGATCATCAGGTTTACATTCAACAAATCATATATTTTGTTGTACTACTACAATTATTATAATCCCTTCCATGTACCATCAGTTAACAGTATTACAGTATTTCTCTTTATTCATTTTAGCTTTTTTTTTTTTTTTTTAAACACTCAGGCATATATAATTTACACCACCAAAGGACACATTATGCAAGTCTGCTTCCTGGCTGCCAACTCTCAGTCCCTCTCTTCCCATGAAACTAGAGTCCTCAGCTGCATCCTCTTTCCATGTCCCCATCTCTGCCTCCATCTCTGATGTGGCTGCTTCTCTGAATAAGGTCCCACATTCTGCTTGTGCTCTTCTCCCTTGATGGTCCTAGAGTCCTCTGTTTCTGGAATGTATTCTCATTTTAATTTTTCTTTCTTTTTTTTTTTAATATATGTCTTTCACATGTTTATAAATTATTTGAATTTTTAAAAATATAACTCATTCTTTACTTGTATCTACTTTTCTGTTAGTGCTTTTTCGTGTTAACTTAGTGATGCAACAAACTGTACATGCCCTGACAATTTGACTGCATTTCTTTTCTATTCCTGTGTTAACACCTGCCTTAACACTCTGCTTGGCATAATGGATTTCAGCATATTCAGGGAGGCAGCAAAGTCAAAAGGCAGCAAAGCTGAGATCAGCTGTTTCCAATGAACCTCACTAATTGCTGATTTCCTCTCTGTAAAACTGGGCATTATCCTATACTTAGCAGGGCTGTCAAGGAGCTCTGGTAGCATAGTAGTTATGAGTCAGGCTGTTAATCTCAAGGTCCACGAGTAACAGTTGAAGCTTTCTGCTCCTGTACAGATTAACAGCCTTGGAAACCCTATAAAGGACCACTATGAGTCGGAACTGACTCCACAGCACACCACCATCACCAACATGACTGTCAGAGGTTTATAGGTGATATATGTATAGTTAATTTATTGGCTGGCCCCGAGTAAGTTGTTTTTATAGAACATAAATTCCATAGGACCACAGACCCTGTGTATCTTGTGTTCTGCTATACCCCAAACATGTTGAACAATACTGACACAGACTAGGCACTTAGGAAGAATACACTAAAGAAATTAATGAAGAAATACAGAGTAAAATTATTTAGTATATCTGCATCAACCTAAATCCAACAGATTAGAATGATCTGGATATTGCAGGATCCCTTGCCATTGTAAGGATCCTGTCTTATATTCTACTAGAAAAGGAGGCTATATATATATTTTAAATCATTTACCTGTTTTTATTTAAAAATCACAGGTTTGTGCTTCTATATAAAGTTTGTACATCCAGCAATGTAAAATACTGACACATTAAAAAAAAACAAAAATGAATTAAAAACAAAGTCTTTTTGATTCGATGCTCTTGTCTTTTCAAAGAGGGAAAAATAAATAATGCTCAAGACTCAGGGAGTGGTTGGTGTGCCTCTTTTCATTTTACTTTTTGACTGGTTGCCTGTATGCTGCTACTGATGTAGCTGGGCTGTTGGTGCTGCTGCCGCCGCCATAGACATTTGATGCTGCAAGAATCGCAATTGTTTTATCTGTTGCTGCTGCTGTTGAAAGGCAGAGGAGAGCTGGAATCTCTGAGGAAGGGTTTGCTCACGTCTTTTCTCGGCAGAGCTAAACTGAGACAACACAGCTGCTTGGGATTGCATAAAATTCCCTACTCCTGTAAGATTAATAACAGCAGCTTGCTGAGCAGACAAGACCTGTTCTTGACTGGTTGAATCTTGTTCAGAACCCTGTTCCCCTGGTTGCCGAGGACTAGAAGTTGTGGGCTGTGGAGGTTGTTGTGGAGGAAACTGAGAGAGCTGCTGCTGCTACACAGTATTAAAAATGAGTGAGCCACCGGGAAGCTGGAGCAGATTTAAGGGTCCGAGACTTGAAGTATTTTTTAAACCAAGTGGGACACCTGCTTGGGAAGCTGGCAGTGCACTTGGCAACACATTTGGTAGGAGACCTCCTGAAGGAAGAAGGCCACTAAGATTAATTCCAGCAGTAGTTAGGGCACCAGTGTTACAGCCCAGCATGGGGTTCGAACCACTCATCAAAGCCTGGGCTCCACAAACAGAGTTCACTACACTGATGAAGTTAAGTCCAGCAGAGTTTGCCATGACTTGGGTGGCTGTGATTCTTTGCGATGAGCTGGCAGGTGACAAGGCAGCTGGAGAAAGCATGCTAACTTGACCAAGAAACACAGACAACTTCCGAGACAGACTTGGTGGCTTAGAAGCAGGAGAAGTTGGAGATTTAAGAAAGCTGCTTGTCTGCTGCGGAGTAAAATTACCTGAGGAACTATTTCCTGAGCTTGAGGGAAGTTTGATAGGTGGAGGCCGATGCCTTACTTCCTTACCCAATACTGAAGACTGGACTGACATGGTCTCAGGCTGTTCTGTTAATTTCCCTGGAGAACGCTGACTCAGATTGATGGAGCCACTGGAACTGTGTGACATCTTAACAGGGCATTTGGCTTCATTCTGGACCAATTCCTGGTACTGATTGACTACCCTCTGAGCATCAGTCTTTGATCCAATAATGAACCAATCTGAATGATCATCTGTGGAGGAGTTGGATGGAGACAACTGGCTATTGGATTCTTCATCTTCTTTACAAAGCTGTATTTTACCATAGTAAAGGGGATCACTGAGTGACTGCACAATGGTCAATTTTGTTTTCTGATACTGATTACCAGCTTCACATTCAAATACATAATCATCTTTTACCTCATGGGCTGGCCAGAATAATGTTGGTTGTGAGTCATCAGATTTGATAGACTTTTCTACTTTCGCATATTTCTCTACATCTACTTCAGAAGGTATGGTCAAATTACATGGATTCTGTTTCCACATATCAATGCAATTTCCTGCTTTAGAGATTCTGAGGTCATAATGCTGACCTGCTTTTCTTTCTTTCCTGTAAGAAATCAAGTAATTTTAGCTGAGGAGGAAGTAGACAATGAGACAGATCTTGCTGTTGATTCAGTGAGGACCTAGAATATCTCTTGAAACACCGTTTCATTGGTCTAGTGTTCATTTTCTGTTTGTTATAGTCTGCAGTGCATGCTACTGCTACAGAAGGGTCAAGACACAGTGGCTCAGCAGTGGCTAAGATCAACTGGCTCTCAAGCAAAAGTTTGTCTTCCTGGGTCCATTTATGGTTATCACTTGCTATTGAATGTACATCACAGATTAAAATCTGCATTGTTGGACGTAAAAGACTATGCCTACTTTGGTAACCAGGAATTTTCATATTACTTGACTGTCTGTAGTCACGTATTTCTGCCATGACACATCCGCAATGAAAAATATTAACTTGAGATTTTTCCAGGAGATCAATCAAAATAGGAGTAAATTTTTCTGCATCTAGGTATTCAAGCAATTCCCCTTCTTCATAAGGCAATCAAATGGTCTTAGAATCTGATCCATTTTTTCTCCCTGAGCATCAGAGAATATCCCTCATTTCCTAGATACAGACTGACCACTAGACATGACAAAGTCTCTTGCATAAGAAGCTTCTCTAACAAGTTCACATTTCTTCTTA